GTAATTCCTCTGTAACTTTTTTGCGAGTATTTTTTCCTCCGTAATTTAACGTTTTCACTTTACAAGTGTCGACACTAAAATGAACTCGCTATGTTCCCGATCTTCCTTCCGATCCTTTATTATTTCACGATGTTGCCAGATTCTTACAATTAATTTCTACCATTGAAGTGATAAATAGTATTTTATGAAAATGAAATGAGCATTAAAATAAAACATTGATTGAAAATACTTTTTATTTACCATGTTTTGTAATATTGTTACTTTTATAAATATTTACAACATTAAATGTTTCTAATTGGGTTCGATTTGCTTTTTTTAAAGCACTAACTAATTATTATTTTAACTTTTTAGACATGCGTTTGCCTTCATTTTATTGGTCTTGTGGCGACGGATTAAGAATACGGAGTGTCACCACTACTATTCTCCCCGTGGGGGATCAAACTATGTAGGACAACAGAACTGAAAAGAGAAGAAAATCTTGAAACATACCCTGTACCAAAAGGTCTGGCCAGCGTGGTACAGTATGCCAAATCCTCCTTTTTAAGGAGAGGCCTATGTCCAAACAATGAGCTGCTGGGGGCTGTTGATGATGATATACTATGTTACTCTTGAGATACCTCAAGTTATTTGAGACATATCCGAGTTTTTTTATTCTTTTTTTGACATTTCAAATCTATGATAATCTTTTTTAGTAAACATCTTTATACAGATTTATTAGACTCTTTGCACCACCGTTAAAATTTTCTAGGAATTGCACAGTTGTACAACAAATATTTCTCTGACATTGATATCTTTGCTCTTTCTACTAACCAATTTAAATGTTGCGCTATTAAATTATTAACCGCCTTGCCAACTGAATAGAATGCGAATATATTGTATCATATGTATTTCTGATCTGAACTTAAGTGTAATATATCGTGCTTGTACATTTACATTTAAGTACTTTTTTTATTTTTTTTTATTTGTTGACGGAGTGGAAAATCCCTTCGGATCTCCGGCTCCTTGGGGATATAGGAGCCAGGAGTATGTGGTGATTCCACTAAAAACCACTCCGACGGCCAGCCTTAGGCGCCCTGCTCTGTGGAGAACCCGGGCCATGTGATTTCAGGTCCCCCAGATCGACGCCGCACCTAGCTAGGTCCCATCTCAGGGAAAGCCAGTGGCTTCTCCCTGCCTCTCAGCCTATCCAGATGTTGCAGCCCGATCACATTTTCAGTGCGATCAGGCTGCCATCCTTTCCCCTACCGCAGCAATTAATGTGCCACCAGAGGTCCCCACTCTCTGGCGGCCCGCGATTCCGTCGGTTCATTACGTCGTCGACGTCTTCTTCGCTCGGGATCGGCTCTCTCCCGATCCCGTTCAGCGGTCTCTTTCTGGAGCATTACAGCTTCACAGAAAGAGACCACTGCGCCCCAGCCCTCCTCACCCGCCAGCATGGCAGTAATGATTGCTGGGGGGAACAAGTCTCGTCCGAACATATAAGTACCTAGTGTCTGCGCTCATGCTCATTTACAGTAATGTTCTGATTCGTTTCATTCAAATTTCCTCTTATTAATCCGTGAACAATGGTGTGGGTTATGGTTTTATACCTCTGTAATATACTTCTATATAGTTTTAAGACTTTAACATGTAACTGTTTTTTTTGTTCCTAAAGTCAAGAAGCTTTTAGTGTAAACTAGCAAAAAATGCCGTAATTGTTCATATTATTGCAATACAGGAGGGACTTGACCGGGAATTCCCCGTTTCAAATTAAGGAATGAAGAACAAAGACCCAATTGCGAGTTTATTTCACATCTACTCGATCGTCAAGGTTACCGCGTTCGGCGCTGTGATTGGCCCGCACTGAAATCTTAACCAATAGCACCGCCGAACGCGCTCGCCGTCGAGAGTGACTTGATGTGAAATAAACTCGCACTGGGCCGTCAGACTATTACAACTTTGATTTATACAATACTTTGTTAAAAATTGATTATTTTATACATTGTATCTAGTAGAATAATGCAAACTGACACAATTATTTTATGATGTGAAACATAGTAGTTGCATTGATGAGAAATAATAAACAAAACTGACGCGATAAATAGATAAAACATTCTTTGAAGCGGTTTGTATATCGTGTCAAAATTTGAGCTCAATCAATGTAGATTTTTTTTAGTTTTTGAAGCGTACACAAACAAACTAAACATTTTTTAATATACCTACTAGTATATACATAGATTACTAGCTTTTGCCCACGTAAAATGTAACCTATGTCTTTCCTCATGAATCAAAGTATCTCTGTACCAAATTTCATCTAAATCCGTTTCGCGGTTTTTGATTCCCCATACAAACTTCACCCTCTTAAAGTATGATTTCTGTAATAAAAACTAAACTAACCCTATGTCTTTACCCGGGACTCGGACTATCTCTATACCAAATTTCATTGAAATCGAATTGGCGGTTCAAGCGTGAAGAGGTAACAGACACACAGACAGATTTACAATTTCAGTATGGACTGGTATGGAATAGCTGGTGCTGATGCGTAGACTACCTACGGATTTTTAAACTAAAAATATATCAATTATAGCCGGTAACTAATAAACATCATATGTATGTATTCATTTGTGTTGTGTATTGTTCATGGGATAAGGGACCAAACAAACAGATGGGTCTCTTGTGCTCAGTGCCTACCGTCACATATTGACTAACATTTCCATCATTGGGAATCAAAACTAAAGGATTATCTAACTCAAGATACCGAGTTAATATTCTTCCTAATGTATGTATATCAATCTTGTTGGCTAACAAAAAAAAAAACAAAAAAATCAAAGTTTGTAAATTTTTTCGCAAGATTTGGTCACTCGATATTATTGTAAACCTAATATATTAGGTGTATTCCTTATTGACATCCAAATTAGTAAATAAATTACGCATTGCTCTAAATACTCAAATTAGAACAACGATTCATAGACAAAGGTACTTAGATAAATAAAGCACTGACTTTGTTCTGCTAATGAATATTTAATATTGATAATATTAATTAATGACCCCATTAATAATATAATATAAAGATAAGTGATTAAAACTAATTTGAATCTACTCGTATCTTCGTTTTATCATAACAGTATATTTGAAGTGAAACTTCTTAAGGCATTTTTGAACAACAAACAAAAGAATATATTTTTTGAAATGTTTTAATCCGTCTGGCCATGTTGCGGATGATGTTGTCAATGATTTCTTGGGGCAACCTCTGCCATTCTTCAAGTAATGCGTTTCGCAATTCGCCCAGATTGTTGGAAGGTAGCATTCTTGATTTGACAGTCTTCTTTAGCAAGTCCCAAACATGTTCTATTCAATTCATATCCGAGGACCGTGCTGGTCACTCTATCATCATCACACCAACAAGGTTTAGGTATGCCTGTACTGAGAGAGCATTGTGAGCCCGAGGATTATCCTGCATTAGAATGAAGTCGTTGCCAATAAAGGGGTCAAATGGTACAACATGTCCTTCTAAAATCTCCCTGTTACACCGATCAGCAGTCAGATTCCCGCCGTCGACTATCACCTATTCCGTGCGAGCTTCTAAACATATCCCGATAATTGAGCCGCCACCTTATGCCACTGTAGTTTCAAAATTAAACTGGAAATAACGCTCTCCTTTGCGTATAAATAATTGCTGCCTTCCATCAATCTGATTTAACAGAATTCTGCATTCACCAGTGAAGAAAACCTGACCCCACTCGTCGAAGTCCTAATGACGATTTTCACGAGCAAAGTATAGTCGGTTTCGGTGGTTTCTCTCAAGTTTATGTGAATTGACGGGCACAAATGAGCCTGTACCGACTTATTTAAATCTTCTGCGAACTGTCCGCTCACTCACTCTTACTCCTCGAACTTCCTCCAATACATTTCGGGCCTGCACCGCCGTTAGTCTCGTATTCCGACGAACTTGAAGTTGTAGAAAACGGTCATCTCTCCTTGAAGTACTCCTTTTTCTTCCTTGTCCTCTCCTCCTCACTAGAGAATCCGTCAATCTGTATCGTTGGATGCTACGATGAATCGATAATAACCATCGAAGAAGGTTTGTAGCAATCGATCAGTAGGATTGACCATTTCTTCTCACTTCATCTGCCCTAATGATTTCTGATAGTGTTAGGTTGACAGGCATACTTAGATGATCGTAATTGATCAATATGCGAGAAAACACAAAAGCCTGAAAAATTAAAACAAACAAATGAATGACACAAACGAGCTGTCGACTAACGTTCTATTTTCAAATTGAACCTAAAATTTAAAAAAGTAATGTAACCGGCCCGGTTACATTACTTTTGTTGTATTACGAAAAAATACATTAATTCTTCCTTTTTTGTGTTCCACTAGTGTTCCTAGATGTATAAACATATATTGTGTATACCTATACGTACAACGTATATTCATGTCGGCACTTTCTGAATCAAAAACAACCTGTTATGATAAAAAAAAACATGTTTTCACTTCTATCGGCACTCCCGTAGTGCCACTATTTTTTTTTAATGTCGTAGGAGGACCAAATTTTGAGTAACTTGAGGAACTTTGAGGAATTGTAACAAACTAATTTACAATCGTATTCATAATATTAGTTAAAGTATTATGGTTATTGAATCATGCATTCAACAAGTGCTCAAGGAAATCGGCAGCAAGAGAGAAAGAGAAGGGACATCGGGCACGACGACATGCGCGCGCGCCTCAAGCGCGACACTCAGCTGATCGTCGCGGATAGATACATACCCACTATCCTTATATACATTTAATATTTTTATAATATTCTTTTCCCGACAACGACAACTCTGTACTTAACTAGTGTTTTAAATAGTTATTTATTCAGTCCACTGTCGTTTTATTCCGCCTAACACCAAAGGAATCATATCAACAATGGTAATCAGTAAAAGTTTTAAATAAAATAAAAAACTATTTATATTCAGCAACAAAATTATTTTATTATAATGCTAGAAGAACTAATAACTACTAAACAACTTAAAAAATTAATAAACAGCTCCCATACCACCCAGACCGCAGCCTGGTCTGGCTCCATAACCCAACCCACCAAGACCGGCTCCGTACGGCAGTCCACCGTTAAAACCAGCAGCTCCAAAACCAACATTTCCTGGGTAGGCATTTGGTGCAACAGGAGGTGCAACACCCTCACTCACAATGCCAACAGCGCCATTACCACAGCCGTAATTGATTCCACCAGCACCAGCAGTAGGCAAAGCGCCTTCAACTGCCACCGCACCTAAGAAAGGCAGCTCTCCCACTATTGACACAGCTCCTTCAATCGCGTTCTCGGAAACTACTGAGATTCCCGTAGGAGTAATAGGAGATACGCTGGTGACAGCAAAACCACCACCGCTGGTTGGTGCTGCATTGAGTCCTGCGTAAGCGCCGTATGGAGCACCCGGGTAAGATAGAGCAGGAGCTCCAAAAGCTCCTAGACCTGGTCCATATGCAAGGCCGTTGCCAGCTACTGCAAACTCTTCAGCTACGCCAGGAATGCCAACACATTGACCACAGATGTTCTGTAATTATAATAGTATAGAGTGAGTGAGTCGTGTATAATATAGTAAGAGAGACACATATTACAGAAATTAAATTAAATTATGAGTTTGGATATTAGGATGTATATATTACCCAATGATGCTCTGAGAAGGGCTCTTCTCCGAGCCTTATCCAAACTAGGTTGGTGTCGGCAAGTCTACTATGATATGACTGAATTTAGATTTTTACCATCAGATCTCCACAACCCACGTACTAGGCGATATCGAAGTTCTGTAGAAAGACTGTTGTGTCCAACAACAGTCTTTTTTACTTTTCATCCCTCCAACTACTCTTAACGAATTCCAAAGATGTTAGGCTGAAGTGACCTATTTTTTTTATGATAGAGGGGCTAACTAGCAGACGGGTCACCTGATGGAAAGTGACTACCGCCCCCAATGAACGAAGACCTTCGAGGAAGGAGTACGTTCTTTTCTTGAAGGTTTCAAGGTCGTATCGGTCCTGAAATACCGGACTTGATAATTTGATAATTGATTTGATAATTTCATTAATAAATAAAGTAAAGGAGGTAGGCTGGAGGATACTGCTGGCTGGGGTCGAGTCTGGGCCTTGGTCAGGCTGGGGTTGTGTACTGCTATGAAAAAGGTAAGATCTCTAATTGTATTTAAACAAGAATTGGTCAGGTAGACCAATTCTTGTTTAAATACAATTAGAGAGCTTAAACAACAGCTACAGCCAATTCAGGTTACAAGTGTACGGAAACCACGTTCATCCTTCGGCACATATGGGTCGAAGTGATAACTCCTGTTGAGCAGGGCTTAATACCAAGACCTCACAGAAATCCGGGCTTAATGAGTGAATGAGTAAAATAGGTGACCCTAGGCCCAAAAACTTCCGAGATGCCCATGGGCGACAGTAGGTAGTTACTAACTCTTCTCTTTTGTTTCTTATCATATAAACAGCCTTTAATAGTCCACTGCTGGACATATCCCTCTCCTTAGAAAGGAGGGTTTTAGCCTACTATATCGCGCTGGCCAGACTAGGCTTGGTATAGGGTTTGTATCAAGTCCCTGGATAAGACGGAGGCCCTCTTATTTCATGGGCGCCGTCGTGGTCAAGGATTGAGGCTCCAGGGGGAGGCCTGGAGCCTCAATCCTTGTCAACTCGGTCCTCGTACCAGTTCAGGCCCGGATGAAGTATCTGGGTCTAATTCTCGATGGGAGGTGGCTCTTCGACGAGCACTTCCGAGAGCTTGCTCCAAAGCTGGTCGATGCTGCGTCTGCCCTTGAGCGACTTTTACCCAATCTGAGTGTACCCAGTGTCGCGACGAGACGGCTGTACACGGGGGATGTCCGGTCAATAGCACTGTACGGTGCACCGGTGTGGGCAGCGGCTCTGACCGCTGACCGGAACTCCCCCGTGGGATTTGGAGGCGGAAGTGCCGAAGTATGTCGGCGGACGGCTGAGTTCCGGGCAGGTATCAGCGGTCTGCCCCCGCTCGAAGAGGTACGCGAGTGGTTTGAGGCCGCTCATCGAGCCACGATGGCTCGTTGGCTGTCCCAGCTGGAGATTCAACGTGCTGGCTTTGCCGCCGTGGAACCTCACGAAACGCAGTGGAACGCAGCTTCTTTCCGGGCACGGCTGCTTCGAAAGGTACCTGCACTCGGTCGCTAGGAGGGAATTGAGTCCTCCCAATCACCACTGCGATTGCAGTGAGGACTCGGCGTGAAGTCCTCGTTGCAGTCATCGGAGAAGATCTCTCGCTACCTGCCGTCATACGCTCCCTGGTCGGTAGCGACAGATGTTTTACTGCAGTCGCATCCTTCTGCGAAGATGTCATGTCGCAGAAGGAGAGGGCCCGGGAGGATGACCTTGATGAGTTGCGCTTACCAGCGCCTTATGCCGCTTTGAGTGTGGCTGCTTTGAGGAGGCCGAGAAAAATAGAGAATGTCCCCAAAGGTGGTGCCGCGCCGGTGCGGGTAGGCGCTAGGAGGGATCCGGATGTGGTAATAACAGCAGTTAGCGGATCCCTCCTATTACAGGCGCAGAGTGGCACACTTTGTGGTTTAGTCGGTCTGATTCCGATACACCAAACCCTGCCGCAAGGTGGGGTGACGGCCCGAGTTTTAGTGCCTTCCTTTCTCTTTTCAGAATCTTAATAATGTTAATGAACAACTAAAAACTACTGTTGAAAAGAAAGAAAATATGTTACCTGTACGAAGAGGGCTTGAATGCAGATGATGAAGATGGCTTTAGCCGACATGTTGATAGATTTGTTTGTAGACTAGTGGACGTAGAACTCAATGGATAGACGATAAATCTTGATTGTACCTTAGGAAAATATCCAGCCTTTATATACGTGTGATGTGATGCAAAGTACGAGTATTATTTAATGTAACAGATTTTGTAAGTTCAGAATACAGATAAGCATTTGACGAAGGTTATGTGTAAGTAATAGATAAGGAACTTAGTACAACACAAGCAATATTTTTAAAATGAAAATGTTACAATGCTAGGTTTTTCAAACGCCATGGTTAGTGATCCTGACTGGTAGGCCAAATATCGTTTGATGAGCACGATCATTTGTTCTATATTGATGGACGGATAGCGTATTGGTTTAAGTGGTCGCGTTTACACTTTGTGTGATCCACAAATTGTCGTTCTGAGTCTGGGTGTATTTTGTGTCCGTAAAGTAAAGTAATGCGGGAGTTGTCTTTAAGTAAAAAAAAGAGCAATAAATACAAATACAATACGTGTGTATTTATAAATAAACTAGCTTATGACAGCGGCCCCGTGTATGTTAGTTATCGCGGTAAAAAGAAGCCTATGTTACTCGCTGATAATGTAGCTTTGCATTGGTGAAAAAACTCTTAAAATGGGTTTTTTAGCTTAGGTAACAAACACTTTCACATTTATGATATAAGTACGGATAAGTAATGTTTATTAAGGTGTTTTTTATAAGGAGCTGGATGCGAGAAGCCCAAAATCAATCTAAGTGCCGAGCAATGGGAGAGGCCTATGTCCAGCAGTAGACTGTGATAGGCTGATGATAATAAAAGTAATGTTTATTTAGAATAATATAATGTGCCCAGTTCACTGTAATTAGTTTGTCAATGTAACGTAAGTAGGACTTTAATTATAATTGGCAAAATGTGAGCGTTAATACGAATCTGTCTACTGTCATAAATATCCAGGGATCCTGTCGCGTTCCATGAAAGAAATATATAGGTACTCCTATGTAGGTACATAGGAGTTGTATTTTTAGAAATATAATTATTTCCTCAGGAATTAACCTGATTAGCAGGTAATTAACTAGGTTAATTCCTGAGGAAATAATTATATTTCTAAAAATACAACTCCTATGTACCTACATAGGAGTTGTATTTTTATGTGACTGTGGATGGTATATAATTATTGTAATTAAAACGACTTCTTGGGTTGACTAGTATTATAAGGTAATCAGTACTGTAGCGACTTCCACATATAAAGAAACAGAAACATACTGCAGCGCCATGTAACGAAGACGCACCGAACTACGGAGTAACTGCTTAATGAGAATTGCTTATCCTGTATCGCGATAAGAAGAATTCTCTCGCCGATTAGCATATATACAACTTCCCAACATCAACTGTTAGGCCGCGTCCCGCCAGGCATGATCACCTCGCCTGGTCGGAGGTTCGTTCCTCGTTCCTTCATAGTACATTACAGCGGGTATCGACAGTGTGACAGACAGCAGAACAATGAATATTTACATAGTAGTAGTAATATAGTATGTTGATAGTGCAATGCATCTTATTGAGATGACATATGAATCTACTAAATAATAAAGTTATATTTAAAAAAAACAGCCATGTATTGTCACAGATTTTTTTTTCTTGTGTCTTTACAAACATTCATGAAACAGATACAAAGAACACCCAGACTCAGACCAACAATTTGTGGACCACACAGTGTTGTCCTATGTGGGTGTCGTACCTTGTGGGTGGGTGGGAACTCAGCGCAGTAGGAAGCTGCGGAATGACCGCTTAAACCACTAAGCCCTTCGTGCAGTCGGTGTTTCAGTCAGGTGTTTGTTTGTTTAGTGATAGAAATCCTGTGAACGCCTCAGGCGGCTTCTGTGCTTCTGGAAGTAGCTTGGTTGGCTCACCTAGCCAACCTTACCTCGGCGCAAGGACCGTTTTATGGTCTAAATGCGGATTAAACTGGAGTCCACTGCTAATACCAATAGTGATAGGAATATCATTATCACTATTATTTGCCTGTCCCAAGTATCCTTGTAAATCGATGTGCACCTGGTGTGTGATGATGTGATTCTGGTGGTTTTTTGCGCCGTCTGAATAAGAACCCGACTCGAAAATAGTCATTTTATTAAAGGTTTTTTTTTGTAATTACGTGTATATCCATGTGGTGAAGGATTAAGAATACAGAGTCTCACCACCCCTATTGTCGTAAGAGCCGACTAAGGGAACAAATTTGTCTAATTTTTCACATACTTTACATACTACTACATTTTTCTTATCCTTGCAGAACAACAGTACTGCAAGGATAAGAAAAACTTGAAGCCAATCTTCAAGGAAAACTTGGCCAGCGTGTATACTCGTAAAGGCGTGATGATGACGTGTATAGGTGTCTGTTTTTTCTGAGTACTTTAATCTCTAGAAGATTTCATACCCAATATCATATCATTTTAATGAAAAAGTTTGGATGGTTACTCGATAATGTGATTCAATTAAAACCCTGTTCAAGAGACCTTTGAGTCCTTCCCTCTAGAAGGGAATTGGGTTCGGGTAACCAAATATGTCAAATTATAGTCTTTGTTTCGAAACTACATGTACATGCAGTTTCATTTCGATTTGACAATTAGAAATAGGTTAAAATTGACTTCCAATATAAATTTATATAGTTACTAATTTTTTGCCTGCAACTCCGCCCACGTAAATGTCAGTTACCGCGGTAAAAATACCTATATCTTTCCTAAAAAATCAAAGTATCTTCATAACAAATTTCATATAAATCGGTTCAGCGGTTATTGATTACCCCTACAAACTTCCACCCCCCTGTTCACCACCTCAAAGGATGATTTCTGGGAAAAAAACTGCATTATGTCCTTTCCCGGGACTCGGACGATCTCTGTACCAAATTTCATCTAAATCCTTTTAGCGGTTTAAGCGTGAAGAGGTAACGGACAGACACACTTCCGCATTTATCATATTAGTATGGAAATATTTGGTTACAAGTGAAACTAATAAAAACGTATTGATGAAAAGTTGAGCTTTTTTAGATTAAAGATTAGTGTTTTACAGGAGACTGTCAGAGGTATCCAACGCCTTACTCTGAACCGAAGGCAAAACTTATATAGCTAATGTAATGACAAGTGTTAAAGCACCATTTCTGATTGTTTCCCACAAACTCATTTACTTTGAGAATCGGTAAGGGTCATAGCATCTATTAAAGCTTGTAGTGTAGTTTTTTAGTTATCATTAACTTTTCTTAAGCTATCAAATGTAAACGACCGATAGTTCTGGAGATAAATTCTTTAGTATTTCTAACTAAACAACCGACATAGTCCAACAGATCAACAATTTAAATAAAAGGGCAGGATACATAGCATGTAGACTGGTTAGACAATGGGTTCTAAAATTTGTGTGGAGACCACAGATTGGAAAGTGCAGTACCGACAGTTCACCGGCAAGATGGACCTTGTAAGGACTGCATCTGACCAGGGCCTCAATTCTGCTATTTTATGTTTACGAGAAGCCAGTGTCATACCACTGACACGCTATTGAGATGCCATCGAGTAGCCATTGGCATCGGTATAAATATCGGTAGTTGAAAATATATTACGTTTTTTGAGGAAATTATTTATTTGTTTTTATTATAATAAATTATTAAAAGAAATAAATAAATTAAAATAAAATAAAATGAAAGAATAAAAAATAAATTAATTAAAATAAATTATTAAAATAAATAAAGAAATTAAAAATATTATTAAAAACAAATAATTTATTAAAATTAAAAAATTAAAAAAAAAAAATATGTATTTTATTCTTTAATAATTTATTTTTATTTATTTATTTCTTTTTTTCTATTTTTTTTTTTAGTTATTTTAATTTATTTATTTCTTTTAATAATTTATTATAATAAAAACAAATAAATCATTTCCTCAAAAAACGTAATATATTTTCAACTACCGATATTTATACCGATGCCAATGGCTACTCGATGGCATCTCAATAGCGTGTCAGTGGTATGACACTGGCTTGGCGTAATAGCAGAATTGAGGCCCAGTTTACTTACAAGTCATTGCATTGGTTATCACATATACAGCAGTTGACTTCCTGTAGATGAAATAATGATAATGATAAACCAAACCACATATCAGTTTTGTTGTATAGTGAAACATGAATTTGGAGGATTGACATTTAATTGCAATTATAGTTTAAAGTGGCTTTTTTTCAAAAATACTATTTTACAAGCATACAGTCAATTATACTCCTAGTTATTTACATATACGTGCAATTGTAATTATAAGACTACTATACATATATTATTATTTATTACAGTACAGTAAAAATCCTTAATGTCATAATATTATACAACTTGAGATTCTTAAATGTAACGAAATCGAGGTACATTGGCATCGACTGGCCTGTTGGTCTAGTGGTTAGTGACCTTGACTGCTTCTCCAGAGGTTCGATTCCCACTCAGGACACATAATTGTATGATGAGCACGGTCATTTGTTCTGTGTCTGGGTGTAATTTATCTATAATATGTATGTATTTAGAAGTATCGAAGTATTGTTATTAGCAGTCTGGTTACCATAGTACAGGCTCTGCCTAGTTTGGGATCAGGCGTCCGTGTGTGAGCTGTTTGAAAATATTCTTCTATTCATATTCTTATTATATTATTGGTATTATTTTTATTCAACGTCTCTGTCGCGTCAGCAACAAACGAGAATATGGCCTACTTGAGGGTAGGTGGCATATCACAAAAACGTGTATACTATTTTCTTGAAGAATTTCATAGTATGTGATCTTTTTTTTTGTTGGGGTGGAAATCCCTTCGGATCTATGGCTCCTCGGGGACGCAGGGGCCAGTAGTATGTGGTGTTTCCACTAGAAACCACCCTGACGGCCGGTCTCAAGCACCCTACTCCAAGGAGGACCCGGACCATGTTATTTCAGGTCCCTAGTCTATGCCGCGCCTAGAAATTCCCTATCCCCGAGAATATTATGTGGTCTATTATCCCAATGTTTTATGTAAAATGGGATTGTTGCAATCCTACCCTAACATCATTAATCCCTCGGGACTGATGTGGACTGATCCAAAGTAGACTCAATCAAATGATTTATACGTATTTCGTTGAGCGCCATTTCTTTGCTCTTATTTTTTAATAGGCGATATAGTTTTTTTTTTGGAAATAAAATAAAATATTGATAAAATTTATACTTATGTTATAATCATTAAAATATTACTTCACATATGGCAACTGTAAAATGAAAGATACAAAACCTGGAACCTTGTGTGACCGTCTTCAAAATTGAGCAGATTTTGTATGACTTTGTGTAAATATTATATCATCAGTTCTTATGCTACCAGGTTAAATATTTGACGTTTTAATAAGATTTTATTTTATTCTTTTAATATTTATAAGAATAGTTAACCTTCCAATGAGAGTCATTCCTTAATTCCAGGAATATTAGAAATGAACATATTAAACGCCTTACAGAAAAATATCTATGTAGTCTAAATCAGTGAAAATAAGTTTATTTGCTATTTTGATTTAATTTTAAATGAATAGTTTAGAGAGTTTTTTTTTATTTAGAGACACAATGGTCTAAGATGATTTCCTTGCCACCATAAATTTCCCAAACGACCAATATACCTTTGTTCTATTACAATTTGTATTTTCAAAATCATGAACGATAGATCTCCTTTATAAATAAAATAGTTCTTCTCTTTACAATATTTTTATTTTATTATTTAATATGATATATTATATATATGATATAATTCAGTGGTTATCACAACCGCAAGTACACCTTCCGCTGATGATCACAGAACCAGCTGCAGGGACGTTGCCACTGAAGCTCACAGAACCCATAATAGGTACATGACCTACGACAGAGGTGCTACCAGCAATTGGCAGTTCACCTACCACTATCACGTTGCCTTCACCGTTACCACCGTAAGCTGCCCCACTTGTAGCATCATAGCCAAGACTACCAGCATTGCTAAAAGACCCTTGTCCTCCGAAACCGCTGGTGAATCCAAAACCAGAACTACCCCTGCCAAGATTTGAAGAAATGGCACCAGAAGGGATAGCAGCTGGTCCTGATCCATAGCCAAAGGCAGCATTATTGGTTACTTCAGTTCCATAACTACCGACGCATTGACTCAATACATTCTGGAAAAGCAATTGTCAGGTTTGATTCTAAGCTAATAATTTTATTCTTAAATAATGGATGATCTAACTATTTTCTTTTTACCAACTCAGCCTTTTATAAAACGATTCGGAATTTTCATTTTGAGAGCATTTTATTTAGAAGAGTATACTTTTCATTTGTTCTCATTTAAATTTCAAGAAAAAATATTACAGCTTCTGGTGGAGAATTGAGGAATGGAGAATACAGTTTATCACGATGTAGCTAAATTGAAGTCGATAATACTTTTTATAGTTACTTATTGAAGAGAAGAAAAGAGAACAGACTCACCTGAATCAAGAAAGCCTGGATGCAGAGGAAGAAAGCTACAAAGGTGTTCATGTTTAATGTAGTTTTAGCTTCAACTAGAAGATGAAATCTGAGTAATTCCAAAGTACAGCAAATAGTTTATATAGAATCATTCTGTTATCATATATTGCATATATTTCGTGATATTTTGTATAAAATTTAGCTTAGTCTTTTTGTTGTAACTCAGCGATAAGGTTCAGTGAGTTACTCAATAGTGGAATTATCATGTAGTGTTGCAAATATCTTTCGTTTGCAATTATGATTGCAAATTTGCAAATCAATATAAAAGATTTAAATCTCTTCATAAAAATCATTTGTAATTTTGCATTTGAATACGTCAGGTATAGTACTAATAGCGATTATAATGTTTTTACATTGTTCATAGAATTTCCAAATTTTTTAATACTAACACGATTTGTTAGCATCAGTTTTGACTTTGAACTAACTAACTAACTAATAACCAGTAGGTAGTCTAAATCAGCTAGCGCTAATAGCGTTTGTGACTCCTGAGCTGTAGGCTTCATTGGAGGCGGTAGTCGCCATCAGGTGACCCGTCTGCTCGTTTGCCCCCTCTTCCATAAAAAAAAGATAGCCTAGTTTGGCAAATCTTTTAACAACAAACCCTAGATTTTTAACCCTAAAATATTGTCTTTGTTGTTAATTAGTCCTTTATACGCTTTTGTAACCGTCCAGGGTAAACTATGCTCTTGCACGCCGTCAGCGCGGCGGTAAGACACGTTATGGAGGATTGGCTCGAGAGGACCCTCTCATACCGACTGACGCAGGTGATCACTGGGAAAGGATGTTTCGGGGATCACCTGTGTCTGATCCGCAAGAAGCCAACGCCTGGGTGCCACCACTGCGATGGCCAGACCATGGACACGGATCTCCACATGCTGGCAAAGTGCCGGGCGTGGGTTGAGCAGACGCGAGACCTCGTGGCGGCCATCGGAGTGGGAGTTCTCTCGCTCGATAGCCTGATTGCGGCTATCGTGCGGAGCGAGAGTGCGTGGAACTCTGCCGTCTCCTTCTGCGAGCAAGTTATGCTCGCGAAGGAGACGGCGGAGCGGGACCGGGAGAGTCGGAGTACCGCAGGCGACTCAGGCGCCGGAGGTCCGTCCGGTCCTCCGTCCGCCATAAGCGCAGGCCTGGGGGTGACAGGTGAGGCCATCTGTCACCCTAGCAGAAGCAGGCCGGGGTGGCGGCGAGCGCGTTACGAAGCGCGCTCGCTTCCAGGGAGCACAGGGAACATGGGGTTCCCACAGGGGGGAGGGGGGGGGGGGGGGTCGTCTACTCGTCTGTAGATGACCCGAGGTATGTCGAAAAGAAGTCCCTGGTGCCCACCAGGGACTTCTTTTCTAGGGTATACCTGGTTCCCCGGCTATTAGTACCCGAGACGGCGTGCGGTTTTAGTCGGTTCGAGTCTGACATGCCACCGACGGGTGGTATCCGAGGGGATTTCCGCACGGGAAAAAAAAAAAAGGGTAAACTATGCTTATGTTGCATCACCTCAAGTGAGTAAGGTTACTGGAGTACTCTTAATCCTGGAAGGGGGGGAAGGGGGTTGGTAAAAACCTGGCAACCTATTTGTGACTATTTAGTTGCAGGTGTTAATTGGCAGCAGTAGTTACGATCTATCAGGCAACTGGTTAACTTGTTTACCCCTAAGTTGCTAAAAAAGGGTTCTAAGGGATACCAAAAGTCAAATCTATTTAATAATAAATAAACAATTTCTTTGATGTGAATTAAACTTTATTTTTGTCAAACTTATTTTATGTAGTAAGCACAATCACAGTCACACATTCCAGAAATACTAACACCTCCAGAGGCGGGTACTGCACCGCAATAGTTGACAGTACCCATAATCGGTACTTGTCCAGCAATGGCAGCATCACCAGCTACTGGAATTTGACCGGCTACTGCTACATTTCCTTCCCCAATGCCTCCGTATGCATTCTCTCCAAATCCAAAATGTCCAAACTGAGACGCTGTACCATACTTCATAGCGTTTCGGTAGTCGAATCCAGAAGAATACATTTCTGGAATAATGCCTGAATTGCTCAAACGTCCAAAAGGCATATTTGTTATTCTGGCAGGGCCATTACCGCAAGCATGATTGACAATACCCATACCCGCAGAAGGAACCGTTCCCTTCAAGCCTACTGTCCCAATAAATGGTAATTCACCAGCCACTGACAGAGTGCCTTCATATTCATTGTCAGATGCTAATTTAAGTTCTGGGGAAAAAGCAGAGGCACTGGTGACTGGTAGAAGGCCTCCACTAGTAGGAGTAACTTCAACTTCAATGGCCGAAGATGCTAATGCGGGGTATTTCTGAAGATAAGAGGTTTCAAAAAATGGACTACTTAAGGTAGAAGCTGCTATAGAAGCGCTGCAAGGAGTGGCAAGAGCAGGAGCATTGCGGCTCATATACTGGCTGAACGCTACCTGTAAATCAACGATTTTTTATTTATATTTGATTACTTACATCATCACTGTTGAAATTACAACAATAACAAAAGCTTCGTGTTTCGATAGCCTTTTTATACATTTATCTAAAATAGCTGGTAAATGTGCTTTTTTTACATTTTGTCAAGAAACAAAATTGATAGATTTATGCTCGTATTACCTGAATCAGGATAGCTTGAGCTAAAAACACGCAGCTCACTTTTGAAGTCATGTTTATCCAATTCTTGAACTCTCGAGAATAAATGATTACTGTATTTTTTTCTCGTTGACCATACTTTTTATAGGAGTATTTGCTTAGGCTTTCATAATTTTCGTTTGCTCCATATCAAGAGGTGTAACGCACATGTAAAACGCAAATTTCGTAAGTCTGCGTGCTATTATTTAGTAATGAGTTGTATTTTTGTAATGCCCGTTAGCAGAAGCTGATCGTTTTTATTACTAAGTTGGTTATGATGAGTTCCTGGATTGAAAAGTCCGAATTGTGAGTCAAACATTAAACCTAGATAATCTTAATCATACAAGAGTAATATTAATACATTATAAAGCTAAAGGGTTGATTTGTTTGTTTGAACACGCTAATTTCAGGAACTACTGGTACAAATTGAAAATATATTTTAGGGTTGGATGGCCCATTTATCGAGGAAGGCTATATAACAGCACGCTATAACCAATAGGACCTGAGCATTAATAAAAGAAGTCGTGTGGTATCGTGGGACACCCCAATAGAAACGAATTCCCCTATGCTATTTGACAAAAAAAAGAAAAAAAAATTTAGTCAAGGTATACATTAGTAAAAAAATGCATTTTTTTTTTTATATATAAACAAAAAATATATATTTGCTAATGAACTACAGCTAATTGCTTTAAGAAACGCATCAGTTTTTTATTAAAAAATTGAATAACTCGAAAACTATTGATTGTAGGGAAACAAGACTGGTTTCATTTCATTTCTATTTAAATTTAAAAAAACAACAACTACCCAGATATTACGTAGATTTTCGCGAAAATTTGTAAGTACCAAAATTTTTCTTAATTTTCATTTTTTTTTATTTTTTGGAATTATTCCTTTATTTGTGCTGTAAGACGTTTCTTTTTACCAAATTTCGTGATTCTAATCAACGGGAACTACCATATAGGTTTTTGACCCAAAACCTATAGGGTATTCCGGTGGACTTAGAATTGACAATTTTGGTTAAAAGCAAGGTCTTACAGCACAAGTAATGAGAAAATTCTGAAAAATAAAGAGAGTTGAAAATTAAGATAAATTTTGGTACCTACAAGTTTTTGCGAAAATCGAAATTTGGCCATATCTTTTTATATTGGCCATTGATTTTTATAAACCTATTATAGAAAATCGGTGGTGACACACGGACAGACGGACAGACCGACAAGAAAATGATCTTATAAGGGTTCCCTTTTTACCTTTTGTAAACATTGTATACTCTGCTGTATACATAGGTAGGTAGGGTACACTGATATGTGAAAAGCATTCTGCTGTATACATAGGTAGGTAGGGTACACTTATATGTGAAAAGCATTCTGCTGTACAGTTAGGTAGGGTACACTGATATGTGAAAAGCATTCTGCTGTATAGGTAGGTATGGTACACTGATATGTGAAAAGCATTCTGCTGTATACATAGGTAGGTAGGGTACACTGATATGTGAAAAGCATTCTGCTGTATACATAGGTAGGTAGGGTACATTGATATGTGAAAAGCATTCTGCTGTATACATAGGTAGGTAGGGTACACTGATATGTGAAAAGCATTCTGCTGTATACATAGGTAGGTAGGGTACATTGATATGTGAAAAGCATTCTGCTGTATACATAGGTAGGTAGGGTACATTGATATGTGAAAAGCATTCTGCTGTATACATAGGTAGGTAGGGTACACTGATATGTGAAAAGCATTCTGCTGTATAGGTAGGTATGGTACACTGATATGTGAAAAGCATTCTGCTGTATACATAGGTAGGTAGGGTACATTGATATGTGAAAAGCATTCTGCTGTATACATAGGTAGGTAGGGTACATTGATATGTGAAAAGCATTCTGCTGTATACATAGGTAGGTAGGGTACACTGATATGTGAAAAGCATTCTGCTGTATACATAGGTAGGTAGGGTACATTGATATGTGAAAAGCATTCTGCTGTATACATAGGTAGGTAGGGTACACTGATATGTGAAAAGCATTCTGCTGTATACATAGGTAGGTAGGGTACACTGATATGCGAAAAGCATTCGGCTGTATAGTTAGGTAGGGTACACTAATATGTGAGGTGTTACAGCATGAAGTAGTAGTAGTAGAGCGCTATGTTTTGCCATATGGAGTAAAAATATTATTAATTAAAAATACCTAACATTTCGAACAAAAATCATAGCGTAACTTTTTTTTAATGGCTCTTAAAAAATAACGAACATTTAAGTAACTAATGTACACATACCCTTTTTGCTCTCAATTTTTTTTTAAAAGACAACAGATCACACAAAGTGTCGTCCCATGTGGGGTTTGAACCCACAACACTCGACGTAGTAGGAAGCGGCGTGGCGACCGCTTTAACCACTACGCCATCCGTGCTGTCAAAGTCCGTGTCTTTATATGATGTACAGATTACTAATCATATTTTTTTTTGATGTTTGTTGCTGGTCAATAAAAAAAAAATTGACCAAATGTCAAAACTTTTAATTTGCCTTCTTATTATGGCAAATGACTTCTGCTAGACATGCTAGTTGTAAGTTTTCCAAAACCATAAATTAAAAGAAATGAGACGAAGAATCCCCAATCAGTAGCTGTTCACAGTTGCCTTGTGATGTCACTGTGCGTGCAGTATTTTCAAAATTGAACTGGAAAAGTACCTGGCTAAAACACACGTGTTTTTACAAAAACTCTAAGGTGGTTTGATAGCAGCCTTTCGAAATTTTGCGTAGTTTATTGCGTTTTTTCACGTAATATTTGATAAATCCAGTAAACGCATAGGCTAGTTTTGTAATGAAATCTTTTTATAGTTCTTATAATTTATATTTTATACAAATAAATAAAATGGAAGTGTCTATTTGTAATGTCAAAATAAAGCTCACACGGTTATTTGCACGATACCTATGGCTAAAAACCAGTTGAAATTGTTTCGTCTGTCTGTTTCTTTTTTTATGTTATGGTGGAGGGGGGGGGGGGGGGTCGGACCAAATGTGTTTTTTTATGTTAGTGGGGTCAGACAAGCAGACCGGTCACCTGATGGGAACACTGATATGTGAACCATGAACGTCTGCAACTCAGGAGTCACAAACGCGTTGCTGCCTTAGGAAGGAGTACGCTCTTTTCTTGAAGGTTTGAAGGTCGTATCGGTCAGGAAATACCGTAATCACCTGTTCCAGAGATTGGTTTTGAGGGGCAAAAAGTGTCTCGAAAAGCGCACAGTAGTGGAGCGCCAACTATCGAGGGGATGAGGATGAAAATTTTACCGTGTGGAACGATGGCGGAAAGTTGCGGCTGGTATTATTTCGAATAACTCCTCGGAGCACACCTCTTGATATGTGCGTTAGAGAATGCAGAGTGAAGCCACATCTCTACGTAACGGTAAGGGATCGAGCCAATCGGACATGTTTGGGATATCGACGATTCGAATCGCTGTTCGTTGGATGCGGTCCAGAGGGAGAAGCTGTAACTGAGGTGCCTCTGAATAGAGATGAGAACAGTATTCCATATGCGGCCGGACTTGCGCCTAATAATCTTCTAAACGGCTAAACCAATTTTGATAATACTTTACTACCAAGTAGCTGTCTATATAAGGAGTAACTTAGGCTATTGTTCCTCTCAGAAAAAACCTACAAAATTTATCTATAATATGTATAATATCTATAATATATAAATATGTTTATCAGCAGTCTGATTACAATAGTCCTACATGTTAATGAAACTGAAATTTCTTGGAAATACAATATTATCCTCTAGACATAAAAAATTACTTACCCTGACTGATTCATTAACGCAGAGTTTGGCAGCTGAGTTTTTAATGTTGTAAGCACCTACTAAGAAAGGGTTATGGCCATCCGGACATCTGATCCCAAACCAGGCTGAGATTTTTAAGGTCATTATTATTTTTTATCCCCTTAGAGGTGAAATTCCCATCAGTCATAAATTTCAAGTTTATAGGCCCCTCTGGAATATAATCCGCTATAAACGGCCCATAAATTATATCCGCTGATTAGGCTCTGCGTTAAAGAATCAGTCAGTCAGTAAGGGTAAATAATTTTATCTGTTTATAGGATAATATTGTATTTTAAATAAATTTCAGTTCGTATTTCGGTTTTGGGAAGCCCAGAAGTCTATTAAGCATGCCAGTAAAAGCGATTTTGTTATTCTGAACTCAAACTGTTTTGAATCATTTAATTTGTTTGTTTTTTTACCAACATAATGTTATATCCCAATCTTCTAAGTTACAGAACTGTATTTTTTCTTCCATGGAATGCTTATTTCTTCCTTTATTTTTCATTGCACTCAATTGCGCTAAATTTACGATCATCATAAACAGCCTAGAATAGTCCACTGTTGGACATAGGCCACTCCATAGAATGGAGGTTTTGGCCTACTACACCACGCTGGCCAGACAGGTTGGTATAGAGTTTGTTTCAAGTTTTCCTTTTTTTTGCAGTGCTGTTGTCCTATGCAGTTTGTTACCTTAGTCGGCTTTTACTACACCCACGGGATGAATAGGGGTAGTGACATTCCGTATTCTTAATCCATCACCACACGGATTTACGACAGTATTTATATAAATACGTTCATCAGTAGCCCAGTTTGACACTCACGATCAGCCAATGTCCTTTCAATAATGCTCCGACGACATTCGGACCATCGGAAGCCTTTAAAGGTAGGCATCGCCTGGTTTATCTCAATATTTATCGTATAAAAAACTTATAGAAACTACCATACAGGCAGTTTCGGTAAGTATTATTTCTTAAAAATATTTGACTTCTACTCAAATCTTCTGAAATCTTCTCTTAAATTTGTAATAGAACATGAGAAATTTTACTATTTAAAGAAGATGTAAAAATTATTTTGTCCCGGTATTTTTTTAAGGAAAGGTACCCTATTTTTTATTTTGTTTCTGACAAAATTTATTTATTTATTTACTACTAGTACTACATTATTACGTTTACATTATTACATAATGCTTATTATAGATAAAGTTATATTCAATTACAAGCA